CCCTGAACTCCTAAACCCCCAAACCCCTAAACCCTGAACCCTGAACCCATAAATACCCCTAAACCGTGGTCCAGGAGCCTAGGGTTTGGCTTTAGGGTTGAGGGTTTCGTTTCAGGAGGCTTGGTTCTTGTAGGTTTTGCGGTGGCGAGGCCTGTGTAGAGCTTGGAGGGGTTATTCTGGGTGTTTAGGGTTTAGGGTTTAGGGTTTAGGGTTTGGGTCCCTTATCACTGAGACGTAGAGTCCGAAGCCCTGAACCCTAAACCCTTGACCCCAAACCCGGGTGATGGTCAGATGGAATACCTGGTGCCCAAGGTCGTAAAGGGACAAAGCCTCCCTCACAGAGGCTCTTCACTGCGGGAACGGAGTGGCCCTGAACCCTAAACCCTGAACACTACATGAACCCTAAACCCTAAACCTCGAACCCCTGAACCCTAAACCCTGAACCCTGAACCCTGTACCCTGAACCTTAAACCCTATACCCTGAACCCTGAACCCTAAACCCTGAAGCCTAGGCCCTCGTCCCTGAAGCCAGAGCCCTGAACTGCCTTCGCTTAAAGAGTTGGTTCGGGCTTCGCTGGGAGGGCCCACGTTGTCCAAACAAAGGCTGGGTGAGTTTAAGGCTTCGAGCTTAGAGTTTCTTCGTCGGTTTAGGGTTTAGGGTTTAGGTTCGGATTTGTGTTTTTGGTTTAGGTGTTCTTTGCTCTTTGATTGTCAGCGATAGTGTTTAGTTTGTTCACATACGGTGGTTAAAAACCTCGGCGCCAGACAATGAGAATCAAGCCCTGATCGGCTCTAACCTTTGTCTACCCATGGGCCCCATAGTAGCTCCTTTTGGGGGTTCATATTTAGAATCCTATAAGGTAATCCCAAAAAGGAACTACTTTGGGGCCTATGGGTAAACCCTAAATTCAACCCGACCCCTCAAAAAAGACAAGCTTTCGGGGATTTGGTGGCAGATGCTTTTGGAGTGGTGGCACCGGAGCCGTGGTCCCAGCAGCAGCAGATGTGTTTTTCGCTATGGGGGTTTATGGGATTCATCATGGGCTCTAGATGGTGTTATGCATAGAGTTTAATGCTTAACTAAAACATAAAATATCGTACTATTAGATATTATACTATACTGTTATGTTTTCATGGTCGGCTACATTGAAAAAATATGGTTTCCCCAATTAGCTTCGTCACACGCTTGGAGCCGTGTAGGCTTGGGCCAACGGTTGGGGCTTTCTTTGGAGGGTTGCCGGCCGGAATGATGAGCACTAGTATGCCATACTACACTCTTAGACACGGTTTAGGGTTTAGGGTTTAGGGTTATTAGAATTCTGCACAATTCATTCAGAATGTTACCTTGTAGCCTCTTCTACTTACAACGGTCCCCATAGTACACAACCAGGGCATTCCTGTGAAAGTGCTAGGCTAGGTCCGGTATACAGACGGATCGACAGAAAGGAGATAGTAGCGACGCCATTGGTACATTTTGTAGTTTCTTTCTGGGGGCTCTAAGAGGATGTTCTTGTCCGAGATTGTTAGGATGGCCTTACAGCCAGGCTACGAAAGGTAAACCTACAGATGCAGCGGACACACACACACACACAGAAGTACGCGTGCACATGCACGGGCTTTCTGCTTAGGGAAGATGGTCCACCCTAACCCCCCAGGTACCTACTATATAGGGTACTAGAGCCCCTAGGGCCTAAACCCTAAACCCTAAACCCTAAACCCCTAAACCCTAAACCCTAGGGCCCTATATATAGTAGGTACCTGGGGAGGTAGGTCCAGCCAACAGCAAGTCTGAGGCGGCAGTCGCGGATGGTCCTCTGTGGTTGAGCTTGTGGCCGCAGCAGGGCCGACAGGCGAGTTGTTTTAGGGTTTAGGGTTTAGGGTTTAGGGGTTTAGGGTTTAGGGGTTTAGGGTTTAGGGGTTTAGGGGTTTAAGTTAGGGGTCTTCGGTTTAGGGTTTTTGATTCGTTCGAAGTCTTACCTTCGACATTTTAGGTGGATTTGTTTTGGTACTTTACAAGCTCCTTGATGCTATAAGAAACAGCGGCATCTTTGTGTTGTGTAAAGCCATTACAGCGCGACCCCGCAACTTAGCAGGCCATGGTCTCCAGATTTGAAAGGTTAGAAGTATGGGCCCCCAATATGGACCCTTAGGCCTTGTTGGACCTTTAGGCCTTTCCTAGGGGCCCTTATAAGGGTACATCTAGGGTATATAGTACCCATGGTTTCAACCTTAGAAGATTGGAAGGCCAACGATGCCGTCCCGAATTTGTCCTCCTCCGACGTGTGTGTTTTAGGCCTTCGGCTCTGTGATGTTAGCATTGAAGCTGTACCCATAGGCCCCATAGTAGTTCCTTTTTGGGGTTTAGGGGTTTAGAATCCTACAAGGTAGTCCCAAAAAAAGGATCCACTATGGGGCCTATGGGCAGATTATATATTTATAGTACTATTTTGGGGGCTCCTTATGTTATGTAATTATAGATTAATATACCCCAAAACCCCGTTCTAATTGGTAAGGCCCCTACATTGCAAGGGCGAGTGCTACGCTCGAAACCTGAATCAGGATCCTCGTTTGCTGTGAACTCCAGAGGAGCAGTACATAAGATCATAGTGACGGTCCGAATCACGAGGATTTGTTTGGGTTTTGGGTTGAGTGTTTAGGGTTTAGGCGCAAGCATGCTGGAGGAGACACCGATTCTGCTTTACCTGTACCCCAAAAGCATGTAGAATAGTAGCCTTTTATGGGTTTTGGGCCATTATTCTACCTACCTTTGGGAGTTTAGGTAAGCCCTAAGCATGCAGGACTGCTGGCCGGGGAAGTGCCACTTATCTGCAGCTTGGAGGACCTGTTGGGGACTGTTTCTTTTCTAGGTTTAATACAGCGAACATAGTGTTGACCTTGGGGTAGAAGGCAGCCCTTCAAGTCCAAGTGATGAGAGGAAGTGTGCTTCTGTCGACTAGCTATGTTGCCTTCATCAGATTCCGGTCTGTTACAACTTGGATTAAGGGAGTGGTGTGCGTACTGAACACTTCATCCTAAACTTTGGGCTTGTAGCTTAAAGTTCCCATTCTAGACTGACCCCTGGCCTTGAAACCCGAAACCCTGAAACCCTGAATGCTGCGAAAATGCATCCCAACCTCTCCAGCCCTAAGCCCAAACAACCCTTGACTCTAAAGCAAACCCTAAACCCCAAACACTCTTAGCCCATGACTCTAAAGCAAGGGAGCGTTTCGTGCACCTTTGTGGATACTTAAGGCGCCGGCTCCTCGTAGATGAGCTGCGCTCAGGCGCGATCTGGGGTTTGCATTTTAGGGTTTAGGATTTAGGGTGTAGTTTAGTCTTCCAGGTTCTCGGTTTAGGGTCTATGTGGCTTGGGGTTCAGGGTATGGTGTTTAGGGCTTAGGTTTTGGGTTTAGGGTTCAGGCGTGGCTGTTACAAGTAGAACTTTGTGTGATATATTTCGGTTTGGGGAATTTGTCTTTCGCTTGTTTTGCTGGGTGCCTGGCTTCTGGCATGATTCGTGCCGGGGGTATAGGTGACCGCACATCTTAGCCGAAAGCTGTGGTTCCAGGGTGTGATGCTACATGACATGGAACCGGCAGCATCCACAGTCGTCATTTCCATTCCTCACCTTGCTTGTTCGCTGGGACTGGCTGC